CAGTCTGATTACTGCAAATGGGTCGACCGAAGCCAGCGAGGTAGCTGATGTCAAGATGAAGCAGCTGCTGGAGCCTTGCGCGCCGTATTTGCTGGATGAATGCCCGGCTGTGCTCTCAGTTGGCATTAAATGCCTTGACCAAGGGTATAGTTTCGTGTGGCCAGCAAACGGTACTCCGATCCTTGTGCGACCAGATGAGAAAATCGTTCATCTTCGTGTTGATGGTCATGTCCCAGTCCTCGACTCCGAGTGCAAAGTCTTCGGAAAGGGCAAGTTCAAGAAGGATAAGCCTCTGAAGAAGCTGTTTGCTATGCCGGGAGCAATCTCGAGCCCATCGGATAAGAAAGAGGATGAGGGCATTGACGAGGAAGTGCCAGACGATGAAGAGAGCCGTTTGGTGCGATCAAGAAAAGTTGGAGACTTGATGCGTGAAGCACAGTCCGCAAAACACCAGTATCACCACTTCCCCAAGAACCCATTCTGCAAAGTGTGTCAGCGAGCAAGGATGCTTGCACCACAGGCACGAAAGAAAGGGGGTGAAAGCCGCATTCAGACTAAGGCTTTCGGCGATCATCTGATCGCCGACCACGTCGTCGTGCGCGCGAACATCGAAGAAGGGAGTCGTGGTGAACGGGTAGCTTTGGTTGTGAAAGACCTGCATACAAAGTTCCGGAGTATTTACCCATCCCAGTCAAAGAGTTCGGATGAGGTAGTGATTGCTCTTCAGCATTTTGTTGCCCTGGATGATGCAGTCGAGGTCATTTACACTGACAATTCCCGTGAGCTGATAGCTGGTATCAAGGAGTTAGGGTATCGCCACCAAACCTCCGTTGAGTACGTGGACTCCTCCAAGAGCTTCATCGAAAGGGAAGTTAGGAACATGCTTGAGGGAGCACGCACCAATCTTGTTCAGTCCGGAATGCCCCTCCAGTACTGGCCACTCGCCATTCAACATTTTGCAATGGCAACAAACACGAGTGATCAGCTGGACTCATCTCCAAGCCCATGGGAACTGCGCTTTGGAGAAATGTTTGAAGGTATGGCCATTCCGTTTGGTGCAAAGGTCCTGTTCTGGAATAACCCCAATCGAGCCGACAATACAGCAGGAAAGCTGTCACCAACATCGGTGGAAGGCGTGTTTCTTGGTTACCATGTGCAGCCAGGACACAAATGGCGTGGGGAGTATCTAGTTGCAAAGTTGGAAGCACTAGACTACCATGTTGAACACAACAGTTTGACGATCCAGAGGACAAAGAAAATTGAGCTCCTTCCAGGCGGTTTTAGTTTTCCATTGCGTGTCAAACAAGATCGTAAGGAAGCCATTCCTGATGACCCAAAGCTCAACCTTATCGAGTCTCCCAATCCGATTCCACTTGCGGATGCTGACCTCGCGGAATACACACCATCCGAAGCTCCAGAAGGTGTACTTGAACAGGGGGGTGTGGAACCCGAAATTGAAGTCACGGCAGCTGACAAAGCCGAGGACTACAAGCCCGACACTACGCCGGCCGGGGTCCCTATTCCTGAAGGTTACCACTGGGATGGTCTTCGAGTGGTGAAGACGTACAAAGGCAGCAAACGCCCCAAGGACATTCCATCGGATTATTGGAAAACGCTCGGCCCGAAAGATCGAGCAAAGTTGCTGAAAGAAATGGACGAAGCAAAGTCATCCTCCAGCAAAGGTTCAAAGACCACAAGTCCAGCGACTTCTTCTCAGCTCGGTTCATGCCGAAGCCCTTGTGTTTCGGACACAAGTACCAGCTGGGAAGCCGTGCCCACGCCGCAGATGAGGTTTGGAGCACCTGCAATGCCGCGGAAAGTGCTTGATCAACCTGAGCCGCATCGTCTTCCGATTCGGGAGCTTATCGCACAGCGCATCAAGCAAATCGAATTCCAAGTCGCATTCGAGCTTTTCTGTGCAGTTGCCAGGCTCGTTCCTCGCGATGAGGTTTCTCGAACTCCGAAGGCCAAAGCAGCGTTGGACGCTGAGTGGGAGCGACTAAGAGCCAAGGGAACATGGGATGAAGCCCGTGTTCAGGAGTGCCGAAAGGTCGTTAGTGAGGCACACCGCAAGGGAGAGACTGTCCATCTCGGCCGCATTTTTGAAGCGTGCTACGAGAAGGGCAGTGAGCTTGAAGCGTGGAACCCTTTGAGAAAATTCAAAGGACGGACGGTTTTCGAAGGCAATAACGTCAGGGATCAAAACTCTGACCATGCTTTGTTTGGCGAGTTGGGCTCAAGCCCAGCGTCAATGGAAGCCGCCAAGGTTCTTGATGCCTATGGTAGTCAGCCAGGGTTTGGCAAACAGCAGGCAGACGCTGTTCAAGCTTATGTCCAGGCCCTCTTCACTGGGGTGCCCACATGGATATCTCTTCCACGAAATCGGTGGCCGAAGACCTGGGAGGGTAAATATCAAAATCCCGTGGTACCCCTCGTGTTGGCATTATACGGACATCCCGACAGTGGCGGAATTTGGGAAAAGCACCTCAATAGTCGACTTCACTCCAAAGGTTGGGAACAAATCCTGCCCGATGTTTGGCAGAGTATGTTCTACCACCAAGAACTTCGACTTCTTTTGGTTGTATACGTGGATGATTTTAAATTGGCCGGGCCAAAGGAGCACCTTTCCAAGGGATGGGAGCTTATCAAATCAGCCGTCGACATTGGCGAGCCCGAAGCCTATGATCGGTACTTTGGTTGCCATCACAAAGAGTTTCCCCACGTACGTCTCCCCAAATCTGCGCATCCTTTTGCTCATGTTTTCGATCCCAAACTTGCAACAGCATGCCAACAGCATCGCACACGAGACTATTGGCACCATGACCCTGAAACTCGCACTTGGACTCGGTTTCATTTGCAGCCTCGCAAGAAGCTCTACGACCCTGCGAATGAGGGGGGGAGTTCAGTAGGCAAATTTCGGGTCAAAGGATTACACGTTTTGATCATGATGTCACCTTTCATGGTTGCCCATCGATTCAAGCTGTTAGCGGTGATGAGGGTACAACATTGGTAATGGACTCATGGTCAGACAACCCCAAATTGCAAACGGAAGGCTTCTGGACGGGTTCGACTATTTTTACCTATGGTGAAGAGGTTGACCTCAGCGCGTTCGCAGCGGCTTCAAAGAACAGGCCTGGACCTCATCGAAACAAACGCGAGGCAAAGAACGAAGCCAAGCAGAAGAGGTTCAAGCCAATCCCAGAGGGGCGAATCGAAGGTTTTTCCTGGGGATAGGAGATAGGGGGTTTCAGGGGGGTTATCCTCATGATAGGACTCTATCGTGAGAATGCCCCTTTGAAAGATGTTGTGTTAGTTGGGTGCAGGGCTTTGAACAAGTCATTTTTGCAGTTTTTTGGCTGTATAGCGGGGATGTGCTGGGCTGTTTGTTTTTGGTGTGGGCCTTACTCAGAGAGGCTTGAAAGGATTGTATGTACAACAACCAAGGAAACAAACAAACAAACAAACATGTAGCATGTGAAACATACATGAAACCATGTCTGCTTTTGGTGTGTATTTTGTAATGTATAGCACCGCAGCCATTTTTCCCAAGTTTTTTTGCACGCAAGTGCATGCCTGCCAAGTTAAAGGCTGGGACAATTGCGTGAGCATTTTGACATGCCAGCATGTTGTGCTTCGGACAGGAGAGTGAGAAGGAAAAGGGGTTGGCTTCAAGCAACGAGAAGGCAAGTTAGTTGCGCATGGCTTGACATGCATGTCTTGTTGGATCATTGTTAGATGCGTTCTGCGTCCAATTTTGATAGGCTGTGGCAAAGGGAGCACGACCTAAGGCAGGTTACTCAAAGTGCACGAAGCCAGATCCAGAGTGGATCGAGGAGGCCAACTTGTCCATCCTGGGCAGCTGTAAGAGAAAAAAACGTGGCAAGGCTAAGCCGAAGCCAAGCAAAAAGCCAGTGCCGGCAGAGGAAGTGTCAAAGAAACAGAAGGCATGTAAAGTTGTAGAGGTGCCTGTCTATGATGAGGAAAATTCACCCTCATCAGAGAGTTCTTCGAGCTCACAGAGCGCCAAAAGCATGACCACGAAGCTGGCCAAGTTTGCAGCTAAGCAGAAGGCTGGACAACCTTGGGAGGTCCTTTTTTTTGCATTTAATCTTTGTCATGCCAGTACTGGATGGAAAAAGCTGCAGTCCAGCGTCGACCGAAAGCAATGCCGCGAATGCCAAAAGCGGCGATGCTGAGGCTGGACTGGAGATCAGTTGAAAGTGTGTTTCAAGCTTTGATTTGATCAGGGTGGGCGACTGGTGGATCAACCAGCCACCACCAGCAGTGCAGCGGTAGCTGCGTGTGAGATCTGCGATGCAGACTTACAGTGGAGAGAAAAGTTTGCTGTGAGATTTGGAAATATGTGCATTCATGAGGGTGTCTTTCATGACAAAACATGTGCAGTGTGCATATGTATTATGGCTTTGCTTTGAATGTTTTGTTTGGCCCAGGTCTGAAACATGGAGGCAGCTGTCTGGAGCTTGCTTCTGCGCTTTTGGTTTGTCATCTCTTGTTTTCTTGTATGCGTTCTTGCGCTCAGGTTGGGAAATGGCCGGGACCTCAGCATGTTCTTACATGTATGCCATGACATGTTCAGCATGAACATGTATATAGGACATGTTCATGAAGTTTCATGGTCAGTTTTCATTCTCATGACATGTTCATAATCATGTCAAAACATGCCATGACAACATGCAATTCACATGTATGAAAGCATGAAATCATGCCATGAAAACATGCCATGAAAACATGTTTTTTCATGCCATGAAAACATGTTTTTCATACCATGAAAACATGTCTTGAAAACGAATGAACAATCTGACTTTAGTGTTTCTTGCTTTTCCTTGCTGGCTAAGGTGAGGTACAAGCCGTGGCAAAGCTCTTCTTCCTCCCTGTCATGTGCGCTCATGTTTGGATTGGATGATGTGTCTGCGCAACTGTGCTCGCAATTGGTCACCAGCAGCGCAGCTGTGTAGGGTCTAGGGCAGCTGTGAATAGCCATGCCAAAATCTCTCAAGATCAAAGAGAGATATCCCGATGTGGAGCAGAAATATGTGGATGCATTCGCGCAAGAGCCCAAGTTGCTTCAGGCCTGGAATTATAATTTTGGTTTTGCCCCTTTAGTTTTCCAGTGTGCAAACTGGGTTGCAGGTTGGCCTGAGCTTTGTACAAGCTCACAGTGCACAACTCTTTGGGAAACAAGAGTGCACAGTCAAGGATGTCGAGCTGAACCCAGAGGCTTGTGATTTGTTCACACGTTGTTCTATGTATTTTATTGACTCAATGTTTTTTCAATGTGCAGGTGGTGTTCTGCATCATGAAGGTCTCACCTGCGATGAGGCTGAGTGAAGAAGTGCTGGCTCGAAGCTTGGTGAGGTTTTACCAAGAGATGAAACTAGTTCCACCAGGAGTTTCTGTGGAAGCCCTGGAGCCTTGGGCTGCAAAGATGTGCTATGCAGCCCATAAACTTGTGAGGAGGTTTCGCAAGCTTTACGCTGAAAGCCCTCATGCGTCCAAGTCACCCAAGCTACAGGAGCTGAAGAACAAATGCTTGAAAGCAGAGATCCCACATGATCAAAAAGGATCAGACTCTTCGAATGCCAGCAGTTCATGCAATGGGTCTCGAGACATTGAGGAGTTGGCTGTTGACAAGCCAGCTCCAGGCTGGGCAGATCTGGTTGAGAAAATGAAAGCCTGGAAACTGGCCAAAAGTGAAAAGGCTGGGGCTCCAAAGGCACCGGCTGTGGAAGCGGCAAATGGTGTTGATGCTGGTGGCTCACAAATGAAGCAGCCAGTGCCAACACCTGCCAGGGCAATGGCAAAGGCTTCAGATGCGCTTGCCAAATACACTGTTCCAAGCTTTGTTTTGGAAAGTTTGGCAGCGAAGGCGCCTCTTCCACCTGAGCCTTTTGCTGTGACTGGGGGTGAGCAAGAAGGTGAAGGTGAAGAAAAAACAAAGAAAAAACAAGTCAAGGCACCTGCCAAGACTGCCAAGACAAAAGCATCTTGCGTGGCCAAGATGAAACTCGCAAAAATTGCCTGTCGCAAAACAAAAAAGAAGTGTGCTGAGATTGCTGGGCCTGAGGTGGAGCAGGCCCTTGCTTTGCTACCTGCTGAGGAGGCTCAGGAGCCCCACGCTCAGATCGTGGAAGCGCAGGAAACTGTGTCTGAAGAGAAGAATGCGGAGCTTGTGATGGGGCCTCAATACAAACCTAAAGCCTTTGGGGAGGCACGAAAGTGCTACATAGATGCTTGTCGGAAAGAAGGCCTGAGCTGAGCTACAAGGCTGCGAATGAGCAGTGGATGTTCTCTGCAGAGAGATCGGATCTGCTGCAGGGGTTGTCGGTGCAGGAGCTCAAGCGGCGCCGCTTTATGTGACCTTTTAAAGGTCTTTGCTTTTTGTGGCAATAGGCCACAAAACCAAATTTACAAAGCTTGGGGTGGAACCTAGCTGATCTAGCTGGGCTGTGCAAAAACTGGAGCGCATGGAGTCTGCTGGTTGCATGTGTCACTGCCAAGTTTTTGTGAACCATGGAGACATGCTCATGATAACTGCAAGGCTCAAGCAACATTTGATCATTTCACCATGGGGGTGGCTGAGCTTTTGCGGTGTAAAGTGCCACAGCTAGTGGTTCTTCTTCACCTTTGCCTGGTGTTTAATGAAGCCTGTGATGACGAGCAGGCTTGGCTTGTTGGTTCAAGTCCTGCCTTCTATAACCTGACTGTTTGCTGGAGGTCAACCACTTTGTAGAGCTCTTCTGTGGCAAGGCAGAGGTAACAAAGGCTATGTGGGCAGCCTGGCCCCCAGAAAGTGTTCCGACTAGAATTGTGAAAACTTTGCAGAAGTCAACCAAGGCGGGATTTGTTGGCCATGGTATGGACCTGAACATGGATGAGAAACAGAGAACATTTGACTTTCTGCGCCCTGCAGGGTTTTTGCTTGGTGCTCAGTTGCTGCGAACATGTAGTAAACATTTGCGCTTATAAATATCAGCTGATTCAGGTTGGCTATGAATGCTATACGCCAGTGCAAGGAAGGATCGCTGATAGTGATAGCTTTGGCGTGCAACTCTTTTTGCACGCCGTACCTTGTTTGCATGTCCAGGTAGTTTTTTGCAGGTGGTTTTATGCAGACTTGCAATGTGTAATGTCTGCGCCCAGGGCTTCAAGCAGCCATGAGAGGAGTGTACTATTCCCTGCCGGGAATGCTTCCAGACCATTTGTCAGAGATGGAAACTTGATGGCTGCCCGTGTTGCTTTTCTTCTGTACTATATAGTTGGGCGTGGGCATAGATTCCTGTTGGAGCAGCCAATGGGCAGCAAAGCAGAGTTGTTTCCGGCCTTGGCAACGTTCTTCGAACAATTCAAGGCCTGGTGAGTCAGTTTTCAGTCAATTAGATGTGTGTGTGTTCCTGGATGCTGGTGAGGTATTTTGCACTTCAATATGGGGAGGTCTCTATTGCACGTTCCCCGATGAGGCAAGACCAAAGAGGCATGTGCTATACAGCAATGATGAGCGCTTACTTTTGTACTTGGAGACTGCAGCCGGCCATGCAACAGGGCAACAGTTGCAAATGATGCAAGGTGAACCTTTAACAAAGAAAACCAAGGGCCCTGATGGGAAGCCAGGGTTCCAAGGGAATGGGCAAGCCATGAAACTTTCTCAGTACTTTGGTTGCAGAACAGGGCCATCATGAACCCATGCTGTGAGTGTGATAGCTGAACTGACTCAGGCACTACTGGCCTTTATTTGGATACCATTTGGCTCAGATGAGGCGGCAAACGCTTAGCGGTGAGTGGGAGGACTGTTTGTTGTTTGTTGCAGGTGCTTTGTTGGTGGCTGTAGCTGCGCAGGACTTCCCGGGAGGCCCCAAGGAGCCATGTGATGTCGATTTCAAACAATCTGACTTGGAGCTCTTCAAGGCCTGGCCATGTTGTTGTAAACTTGAATGGCTGACACACATGTCAAGGCAATTTCGTTTGATGGAATTGATTGCTGGAAGAGCGTCAGGGCCTCAGTTCATGATTTCATGTAGTCATATCATGTCATGGGTTCTTACATGTGAATGGTTTTACATGCGCATGAAATCCCATGAAATCATGTTCTATGTAGCCACATGTGTTGACATGTCCATGTAATCATGTCCATGTAATCATGTCCATGTAATCATGTAATCATGGGGGGGCATTGTTTGGTGTTTGCTTGGTCATGACTTGTTCTTCAAACAAAGTCAGGCAAAAATCATGGAGGCGATCAACTATATCACATCGACATCAAAATTCCGACCACCTGAGAGATGGGAGATTCCTTTGCAGCGTGCTTTGAAAGCGGTGGCACACCAGTGAGTTTAAGGGAGTGGATGTGCAAAAAAGGAGCTCATCAGAGATCAGTGAGGTGCAACAATTTGACCCGGGATCAATCCGGGATATCGTGTGGTTCACCCCCCCTTATAGTAAGGATAGACCCGGGATCGATCTCACATGGACATGGGACTTTCCAAACATGGCTCTGTAAGTGTTTTTGGGCCCTTGAAGCAGTGAAGTGGTGTGTGCTGTCTGTTGTCGTACCATGGCTGCTGAAGAAAACATGGACATTGTCACCCAGTGTGTGGAAGAGTTGACAACCAAGAAGGGGCGCTTGCCTACCTTCAAGCAACTGGCTGAAGCCACTGGGTTTCCTGAGGAGGAATGCAAAGAGTTCATGATAGAGTACCGTCAGATGGTGAAAGAGAAGCAGAAGAAGCAGAAGGTGGCGCCCAAGGAAAAGGCCGCTAGTGCTGCTCCATCTGAGCCTCCTGTGGCCCTCGGCGATGGTAAGTCTGATGTGGAGGTCGAGCAGGAGCAGGAGATCCCTCCAGCCCAAGCTACTATCGACCTTGATGCTGAAGAGGCCTTGCGAGATGGACAGGGCACCCAGCTTGATGGACAGGGCAGCCAGTCTCAGGTGCTGATGACTGTCGAGTCCATCTCTCCTGAAAAGCCAGACAACCAACTTGGTCTGCCTGATGAATCACAGGAGCTGAAAGACCTTGCGCTAGCGCCTGCTGAGGTCACCCCCATTACTGCCAAGCGGAAGTTGTTCGATGCTGGCTCGAATGCCAACAAGTCGCCACGTTTTGCAGAGGCCTGATGAGAAAAATACATTGTAGCAGGCTGCTTTTGTGGCTTTTCTTTTGAGAAAATTACATTGTAGCAGGCTGCTTTTATGGCTTTGTTTTGGTAGGCTTTGCCATCTGTTCCTCCTTTGCAGCGTGGTCTGTCTGAGAGGCTTGGCTCTTAAGTTGCAATTGATCCAATAGATGCGTTAAGAATGCACATGTACTATATTCTATGAATATGTGACAGGTCTTTGGCGACGTTGCTTCGTGGTCAGCAGCTCCTACGAGATGCAAATCCGAACCATGAGCTTGATGATCTGACTCCAAAGGCTTTGGAGCAATTGGCCCAGCAGAACCGAGCTTAGCCTGTCAGCTTCTGCAAACTGATCAGCCCTATTTTTGAGAATGTTTGATTCTCTTCTGTCATGTCAGGATGCGTCGTGAGCATGTGTCTGATGCTGCTGAAGCGCCTGCACCAGAGGACATTGACCTGGAGCACAAGGAGCACTATGGTGGGCCAGAGCTAGCTGTTGAAGAACTCGATGGGGACAAGGTCATCTACAACAGTAAGTTCTTCAAGAAGGAGTACAACAAACTGAAGAGGATTGCAAAAGGACCGAGATCTGTGGAATTTCCACAGATTACAAAAGCTTTCACTGGAACTTCTGCGGAACAACATGATGTGATCCGTCGGTTTGTGGAGAGTGGGGGAAATGAAAATGCAGTGGAAGCAGAGTTCACTGCTGAACGCACACATGAAGTGGAAGGGAGAGGTGAACGCAAACTCATGACAGTGAAGGAAATGCGTGAGGCTGGCTTCTCAGAGGCCAAAATCAATGCGTGTGTGCAGAAAGGTGGTGTGCCAGATGAAGACTGTCCTACGGACATGGCCTCTATGAGGTTCTGGGCGCATACCGTGAAGACCGAAACCACTCGAGATGTGACCCAGCTGAGGAGCACAGTTCGGGCCAGTGTTGCTGCTACCTCAGCAGTCCAAGCTTTGGCCACAGGTTTTGCACCTGCCAAGGGTGGCGTTGCAGTGGACGCAGCCAATGTCATGGCACAAGCAGGTCCGCACCCTCAAGCCCAAGCCTCGGCGCAACAAGCTCTGCCTGCGCCAGCAACTGGAGGAGGCAAGTGGTTGCTTTTACTCTTTTTGTGAATTTGTTTTGTTGCATTGTTCTTTGTGAATTTGTTTGTGAAACATGTTCTGATGGCAGGTCGCCAGCGCCCGAAGGGGTCTGCCAAGCCCAAGCCTGCTCCCGGCAGCAAGGGCCCTTTGGGAATGCAGTTGGCAGGGAAAACTGTGCCACAGAAAATCACCATGGCGCGAACCTCGCATGCCTTCATTGTAGCTTTTGTTACATGCTGTTATGAATGTGTTTCCCCATAGTTGATCCAATGGTGTTTTTGCGTGCTCAAGGAAATGAAGTCAAGAAGGAGATCCAAGCTTTGAACTCCTTGCAAATCGATGTTGGGGATTTGGACATGTTCAAGGGACGTGTTGAGCAGCTGAAGCAGTTCTCGAACTCCATGAAGTTGCACTTTGACAGGTGTGCCATGCACATGTCCAATGTTGATTCATGTGTTTCTGGCTCCGCTGGCCAGTTTGACAGAAGATTCCATCAAGAGCGAAGATGATTTTCAGAAGACCTTGGCTGGTATTACCAAAACGGCTGGGACCTAAAGTGTGTTGTGTCAGATTATCTTTGTGATTTTGCTTTGCCATGAGGCAACAGACAGCCGCATGAAGCGAGCTGAGATGTCAGCTGCCTTCCGTGAGTACAAGAAGTATTGCTGGCATATTTTGGGCTCACATGAGAAATGGAATTTTGCTGATGATACTCTGTGTTGTGCCAGGGGGTACTCTTCGTGAGAGGGCTGCGCAGGGCTGAACGGATTTTGGCGGGGTGGGCATAAGACTAGAAGCCAAGTGCCCATGAAAGAATGGGTTCATGCATGTTCATGTGCAAGCTTTGCAAGCATGAGACTCATGACATGCAGAAAGCAGGAAAAAGTCCTTGCTGTCATGCCATGTCATGTCAGATTTTTTGAATTTGGTAGGTCATGTCATGTCATGATTTTAAATCTTTTGGATGTGCGCTATCCTTTCTCCTGGTCAGGTACGAACCCAGCAGCAGCCTTGAGACAAGCTCTGGATCAAAGGCAGGCTTGTTCACTGTCACTGGACTAATTCACAATTTAAATTTCTGCAGGCTGGCAGCAGAAGTAGGCCAAGGCTCAACTAGTCTGGCTTCAGCTGCCCGTCTTGGCCATGTCTATGACTCGGATGTGTTTCCGTGCCTTGGCGCCAGTGCAATATGTGTTGCACTCAGTTTGCTATGGACGCCTGCATTGGGTTAAGGAAAACAATGAGAAAGGATGAAAGAGTTCATCAAAAGCTGATGAGCACTGGCTTGGCTTTCCGTGATATTATTTCGTGGCACCAGTTACCCATTCAGAATGAAGATGGCCAGGTGGAAATCCGCAATTGGCCTATGATTCTGCCTCATCGAATGGTTTGTGGCTCATGTGTGATTCATTGTATGCTCTTGCACCAGTGATTGTTTGGTCGCTAAGGTTGAAACTTTGCTCAAGTGCGGGTACCGCGATGTATTGGGCTTTGCAGACCAAAACTATTGGGATGTTCTCTGTGAGCACTTTGACCACACAAGAGTGAACAACACAGATGATTGCATAGGGGTTCAAGTCTATGGAGACGAGGCAACTATTTTTGATGGTCTGAGCTACATGTGCATAGCATGGTCTTCAGAAAACTCACCATTTGCCAGTTTGAGTTCATGCTCGCGTTTTCTGATCTGTCTCTTGCCACTGCCATTGTACTTGATGAGTCCGGCTCCAAATCACCGAAAAGGTAAGATCAATGAGACGCTCCAGGCAGCTCTTCGTTGCATTGTGGAATCTCTTGACAGTTGGTCTTCCACACCCATTTGTGGATTGCGTGGTGAATTTGTGGCTTTGAAGGGTGATTGGAAATGGTTGACGCATGCGCTGAATTTGAGATGTCACGCTGGCACTGACCAAATTTGTTGGCAGTGCCCTGCCAGCAAAAGCATCCAATTTGCTTATACGGACCTTTCTGCTGGTGCTGCATGGCGGCGGTCAAGACATGACCCATCAGAAGTACATTTCCGCAAGCCATCGATTGCGGAACTTGGTCATTTTAACATGAAAAAGGTTAGCATTGATTGGATGCATTGTTTTCACTTAGGACTTGCTCGTGATGTTGTGGCAAGTGTCCTTGTTGTGATGCTGAGAACCCGGGGAATCTTTGTTGGTGGCAATGTCAGTCTGTCATGTTTGAACAGTTTCTTTTTTTGGGAAGATGTGAACATTTGGTATTACGGTGTATATGTTCTTTTTTGGCCAGGTGGAAGCCAGAATGAGACACGCCTCAGTGCTCATCAAGACATGGGCCAAGAACCATGGAACCAGAAGGTTTCCAAACCGATGGCAAATATCAAAGACTAAACTCAGTCTGAAAAGCAGCAAATACGTGCACTTCACAGGCAAGGCATGGCAAAGTGGACTCATCATGGAATTTTTGGATTGGTTTTTGCAAACACATGACCTTCCGCAAGTTGATGCAAACATCAAGACATGTGTGTGGGCAGCCAACAACATTGCTGGATTGATTGCGTGCAGTGGTGTGATGTTCACTGAAGACCAAGTGAAGCAGTTGTTTGTGGTTGGCAATTTGTTTCTGACCACGTATTTGCGATTGCGTGAGAAATTTCGATCCTTTTGCTGCTACCGCCTGTGGAACCCTCGGCCAAAGTTCCACTTAATCGCCCATGTGGTCGACCAAGGGCGTCGCAAGAAAAATCCAAGGACCACGTGGTGTTTCATGGATGAAGATTGGATCAAGTCCATTATGAGGCTTGCCAAGAAGACACATGCAAGAACAACGCATGTGGCGGTGCTGACTAGGTACACGGCAGGACTGATTGTTTCAGTGTATTGTTTTGTTGAAATTTCATGGCTGTGTTGGTTTGCATGGGAGGATTAAAAGCATCATTACAGGACCTGCGTCTGGGCCTTAGTTTTTCCTGTTGCACAACATGTACCTTAAAAAACAGAACATGCGCAAAAACATGTGAACCACGTTAAACAAACAAACAAACAAGCAAACACATGGAGACGCATGCAAAGCATGTTCAAACAAAATCCATGCAACATGTAACATGAGACATGTTCAACAAAATGTGACATGTTCAACAAAATGACATGTTAAGCTAACACAACATATGCTAGACATACATGACATGTGAAACAAACATGAAACATGTTCAACAAGTTTTTTAAACACAAGCATGTAAACCACGCCACACGTTCAACAAAATGTGTGTGTTCTTTGCCCGGGCCTCAGAGAGTTGCGTCGTGTCAATTTGTGAACTTTTGTTGCTTGAGGTGACAAGGTTGAGCGTGCCAGGTGTACATAGATGATGTGCTTGCATTCGGAGAGAAAAGGGATGCTTTGTGATGCTCTGGACCAATTTTTGGAAATGTGTGTTTCAACTTTGTTGAAAACTGATGAAAATTGTCTGGGGGGATCTTGGGGGTAGGGGCTATCTGCTTGATATGGCTCTATCGTGGGTTTTTCCTTATGATATGCCCCTCTGGGATTGAGGATGTAGTGAAATCCACGGCTGGCGTCATGGCCAAGCCCGTTAGCATCGTTCGCTATGACATGTCAAGTTTTCTTGAGTCGTGTGTAGAAGCGTACTGTGAGCTAGCGAAAGTGGATGTTTCCTCATTGAAGCCAGCCCCGACACCGTTCACGGATGCAGGTATTGCCAGGCCGACGTTGAGTGAGTCCGAACCGAATGGTCGACTTCAACCTATTGCCAGTAAGGTTCTTATGAAAATCCTTTTTGCGGCTAGAATGGCTAGGTTTGACCTACTCCGTGCAACTCAGAGTTTGGCCTCCCGGGTCACGAAATAGTCGACGGAATGCGACGTCGCGCTCCACAGGTTGGTGGCGTACATCCACCATACCAAAGACAGATTCTTGGACGCCTTCATCGGCGATCCCTTGTCCGAACGCCAGATTTGGCTGTTCGCTGACGCGGACTGGGCAGGGGATGAAGAGGCCAAGAGTACCTCCGGGTGCACCACTGTCATTGTGGGTCCAAACACGTATTTCCCAATCAACTCATTTTCAAATAAACAAACAGTGATTTCCACCAGCTCCACCGAAGCTGAGGTGGTCGCTGCCAATCAAGCTTTTAGAGCAGAGGGTCTTCCTGTGTTAGCGCTATTTGAGAAACTAGCCTATGGCAAAGTAGCTACGAAACTTGCCCCAAATATGCTGATGAAGAAGTGTTCACTCGCATTGACCCCGAAATCAACGAAATTCGGAACGGCAATGTCGATTCTGGACTGGATGTCTCGAACATTCAGGGTTTGAAGGTCCATTTTCCAGACTTTTGCCAAGTCAAGTTCATGGAGGACAATCAGGCGACCATCACAATCTTGAAGTCTGGGAACTCGTCATCCATGAAGCACGTGAACAGAACGCAAAACGTAAGTTTCAAATGGCTAAAGCAACAGTTCGAACGGGAGCAGTTCGATTTGGTGAATGTAGGAACCCTCTACCAAACAGCAGACATCCTCACAAAGGCGTTCACCAACGCTGCCAAGTGGGAACACGCCCTTAGGCTGATCGGCATTGGGCAAAAGCTTGCTGACAGCCCGGTGCAGGCCGGAGCCCCAACGAGAACGGTGGTTTCCAAAGTCTTGCAGCAGGGGGGTGTTGCACATGCGAACACACATGATAGGTTGCTTATTGAGTTCTGTTGTTCTGCTGATTCTAAGCTCGGGCAAATGCGCAGCGAATCGAAAGGATGTAAAGTCCTCCGCGTCACAATCAACGAAGATGCAACAACAAGCAAGTGTATGAGGTGGCTTGACAAAGAAATCAACACCTTCAAACAACAGCACCCAAAAGCAAAGGTTCTGCTGTACGGCAGTTTGCCCTGCACAGGCGGGAGCCCATGGGGAAACGTTAACAAGCAAACTGAGGAAGGATTGGAACGCATCAAGGAGCAACAAAAGGAGTTCACCAAACTCTTCAAGAGCTTCGCCAAGCTCGTGCGTGACCACCTTGACTCAAGAACGTTTGTTGCTTTTGAGCTTTCCCGTCGCTGTCGCTATTGGCATTGGCCGTCGGTGTTGGCTTTCATCAAACGCCACGACTTGCAAAGATATAACTTCGATGGATGCATGTTTGGTGTGCGCGATAATCACGGTAATCTTATGCGTAAGAGTTGGCATATATGCACAAATCTTCATGAGCTTGCATGTCTTGAGCAATACATGTGCACACGTGATCACACTCATGGGCAAAGCAGAGGCAAGTCATTGAAGAGTGCTGAAGGTTACACGTTTGAGTACACTGATCTTGTTCACCGCTGCTTCAAGCATAGCAGCTCAAGTCATTCTGCCGCCGTCGCGCAGCGCGCCCTGCCAGCGATCATTGTTGATCACACCATGTCGGCTGACCAAGACATGCGCAGGGAAACCTTGGACATCTTCGAGTCGCACTTTCGGCAGATTGTGGCCTCTGGCTACTATCTCGAAGACGGATATTCTGAGGATGTGGACGCGGTGCTGAATGGCGTCCTTGGCCAGCACACAGCACATTCCGTGCTGGCGGGCCTGGTCGAGAAGAACCGATGGCTAGAGCCGGAGTTGGGCCCGTTGATTCGGACCTCACGGTATGATCTAGCCGCCTTCACAGGTGTGCCCGCGAGCCAAGACTACCAAACGGTACACATCTTGATCTCTGATTCCACCTTGTGCTTGGTTAGCGGTTCGAAACGCAAACCCCAGAGGTTCGATCTGGCCGATCACTTCCAGGCCTATCGTCCGACTTACTGCAAGCATTTTCATCACGAATGCCTCTGGGGTGCAGAGTTGCCATTGTTGCTGAAACGAGCCCGTATTGCCGTGAGGAGCCTCAAGCACCAGTTCCCAGGCTGCATGCTGCTGGTTGGCGTGGTATGGGCTGGCAACGAGCTCATTGGCAAGAAAGGAATTGAAGCTCAGACTTCATGGCCCTTCGATCATCCTGACGGCGATCACTACATGGAGCTACAGGAGAAGGTGCAAGAAGAGCTGGTTGGGTTTGCCGCCGATATGTTTCGATACGGTGTGCACTCGGCCGCTCTCATCAGCGCGCCCGATCCTGAGACCTACAACTTCACGCGGCAGGGACCCTACAGCGACTGGTACAACCGGCTGAGTCAGTGGTTCCAAGATGAGGTGTATGGTTCTCAGATCGGCAAGTGTCGCTTCCGCCTAGTCAACATCAACGTCCTCAACATCCGCATGGACTTGCGTGACCAATGGCATTGCGAAAAATCGGACGAGAATGCAAATCATATGTTCTCCTTTTGCCAGAGTGTATTTCACCTGCTTATGAGACTCTACGTTCTCGGAGATATCGCTTTGGAAGTAGCTGCCACCAGCCCGATGAACCGTCCGCTCGGTGGGCTTGAGCTTCGTGATGATCGCCTCCCTCCGCATCAGCGATACGAAGAGCTACTCCGAAATCTTGCCGATGTCCGCCACAAAAGGGCAATCGCCGCAGCCGAGCTCACCGCTCGCGCCCTTACCAAGAAGGACGTCGCTGCGGAGCAGCCAAACCGAGCTGCGCCGATTACCGAGGCAGACATGGCCGTCATCGATGATGAGCCCGAAGGGGAGGAAGATGATCCAGACCTTTCGGAGATTTTCGTCGCAAATGATGCCACGGCAGAAAAGATCCTCCAGCAACGCCTTGATGTCATGGAGGAAGAGCAGGAGAAGATTGCTGCAGAGCTGGACATCAACCGAGAAACCTATGAGGGTCGGCTCCAGATACTTGAGGAACTCAGCCATCGTGTCGAAACTGGTGAGAACCCAGCGGCATGGCTCGACATCGATGCCATCGATGATGAGGAGGTATCGCCATATGAGGAGGTTGTGCCAGAAGAACCTGAAGATGAAAGCGCACCTCATGGCGAAGAAGGCTCGGCCGCCATCACTGGCGAGCCCGAGCCTGAGGCACCCTCATCGCCGCCGGCGGCTGCTGCTGAAGGCCACGTTGTGTGCCCTCAGTATCTTGCAGACCAATACCACGAGTACACGTACAAGATGGCCGAGGTCGATGGCGCCTTCCAGCAAGTGGTCCAGCTTGGCGACAAGCAATTGCCGCTCCACTTTGCGAGCGGATGGGAGCTCAATGGCGGGCACCTTTTCTTCGCGAAACCCCTCAAGGATTGGCTCACCCAGCTATCCAAAGTTGTTCGACAACATGACCAATACCTGGGACTTGAGGTTGACGAAGATGGCTACGCAGACTTGGACGAAGTAGCCAGGTGTTTCGGCCTGAATCACCGCAGTGCCCCGCCGCTCACCGTCAAAGACTTGATCGCCATAGCAGCAAAGGACAAGAAAAACCGATTTGAGTTTCTGGGCATTCGAGAAGGGCACAAACTCGAGGAGAAGGGCGTGGCACTATGGCCCCTGAAGATGCGCGCCGCTGCTGGCCAAAGCAAGCACGCGATCAAGAGCGCACAGGACAACTACAGATCGGCAGCCCTGATGTACTGCAGTCCTGCGCTCAGGCCAGAAGCCAAAGCTCCCTTCATTGGGAAGCCCATCGCCAAAGCGGATGAGATCCCTGTCTTGGCATACCACCGCACAAGGCCAGCGTGCTGGAAGCGGATCGTCAAGGAGGGCCTTATCCCAGGCGGGGGCGAGTTTGTTGGCAGCGATCCAGCCCATGTTTATCTGGCTGCAAGTCGCATTACGGAGACCGACTATCAAAGCGGTCTCCGCGGTAAGCACCCCATTCAGCTTACCGTTGCACTTCGGGAAGCAGTCGATGGCGGTCTCATCTTTTTCCAGAACCGCTCCGGTGGGATCATGACGGTTGACACGGTACCTCCAGAATACATTGTCTCCGTCGAAAACACCGAAAGCCAGTCCACACTCTGGACCAGGGTAAGTGCCGTTGGCCTT